GGCCCTTAAAGAACTCTATTACTGACCGCCGCTGTCAGTCACAGCGCTCACTGACCGAATACTGAAAGCCCAACTGTATGTCTCCATCGAGCATGTGTAAAAAGTTACGGAACTCTCCAAAAGCTCTAGTCTGCAACGCAAGTCAGGTGGAAGCAATGACAGCAAAGGGAGAGCCAAAACTTTCTATGAAATGTTTCAATGTGCAAAAAAAAAAAAATGTAGGTTGGGTCAAATATTATAAGACTTACGGTAAATAGGCGGAGCCTCCCTGTAGTTTGGCCCCTTCCCAAAAACAGTCCAATGGGGTGATTATCATACAGGGGAACAGCTTGTCAATCATCTGGGATGAGGAAATAGAAAGGAAGCATGATTAAAGATCACAAACCAGGATACAAATAGGTACATAGAGGAATTAAAAAATCGGTTTGTTGTGAACTCACCCTTTCAATCATGACATTTTCTATAATAGGAACTCCTGATTTATAGCATATTTTGTTCAGATCCCACGACCTGCGAGAGAGAGAAAACACATTATAATTGGCAGCCGTTATTGTCGACACACAATTAAAACTTTTTTTCACATAACTTGTCCGTGGTCCACTTACTTTCCAAACAGTGACACCTGGACCTTGCTGGCGGACAGGGCGGCTTCCATGTGAACCAGCAAAGCCTCCTGGGTAAGAATATTGGTGCCCTCTTCTTTGGGGGTCTGGATAAGCATCTGTGAGGTAAATACTGAGTCCTCTCCCTGCTTCTCCTTGGTGTAGCGAAGCTCCGTGCTCACCCGACTACCAGCTAGAAAACAAAGAATAAAGGGAAAATGAATACTGAGTTCTTGAGATAGATAGATAGATAGATAGATAGATAGATAGATAGATAGAGGTACTGTATTATTCATACGTTAGCACATATTTATACAAAGACACACACTCATTTAGATCCTATAACAAAGTGTGTTGCATGTGCATATATGCAGACACACACAAGAACACACACACATATATCGACCAACGCCCTTGGCCCTCGCCAGTGTTGGTTTTGAAGGCACTTCACACAAGCCAGTGTCTGGCCAACATAAATGAGTAATACAGCTTCTCATTGGCTCCTTCTGTGAAACAGATGTGCCCTGTTCATTTGGAAAACCAGCCCTCTGATGCCCTCAAAACCCTCTGCCACTCTGCTCGGGGCAGAAGATATCCAGTTCGACATTTTCAGTACTCGAGAAAAAAGGTCACGATGAGAAGGGAGGAAGTGAAGAGTCGGTTAAGAGGGAACAGCCAGTGGCTGCGTAGGTACGGCACATCAAATAACTTACGAGAAGTTCAAGAAAGGCAAATAGATTCATAGAGAGAGAGATATTAGATGTCCGAGGTGGTGATGAAGAAAAAGACAGAGAGAGGAGGAAAAAGAAATAGAGAGAGAGAGAGAGAGAGATGTTGTGCTGTGCGGTAGACTCCAGCCCCCTAATTACAGGAGGTTGCCCTGAAAAGAGTTTGCCAGCCGGGGGGATCTGTGCCTGTGCCAAGTGGACATGAAACATGCCGCGCTGGATCACAGAGGGCCCGTCTGCCCCTCTCGCTGTCCCACTACATGACAACCCCAGAGAGAGAAAGAGAGGGGGGGGGGGGGGGGGGGGGAGGAAGTTTGGAAACAAGTGCTACCTCCTTTTTAACTCTATCTCTGGTCAGTCTTGTGCTCACCTTCCCTACGCTGCACTCAAACCTGACTGCATCTATTCCCCTCTCAACACTGTCTACTAATCCTGCCTCTTGTCTTTCTCTCCGTCCGTCTCTCTCTTCCTTTCTTTCTTTCTCTCTCTCGTCCCCTCACACTCTCTGCACCTCCCCCAGCCTGGAGCAGGCTCCTATATAATTGATGGGGAGAAAAAGAAAAAAGAAACTATTCAGCCTCCGCTGCAAAAGTGTGAGATCAGGTTAGAACTGTGGGCCTCGGAGAAGCAGCCCAATATTTCTAGGCTGCGCTTTCAAGGCTTTAATTACCTATACGCATGGGGCTTCAGAATATAAGGTCGCCTCATTTATTTGCAGACAAGGGTGTCTATTTGTTCCAAGTGTCTGGCTCAGTGCATCCCAAAAAGAAAAAGAAAACAACTCAAAATGATCTCGCTGGATAACTTTTGCACATCTGGTCCTTCAAAAGAATGTTCAAGTCGAGAAGTTATAATTATTTTCTTCTCAGGGAACCACAACAAAAAAAAGATAAAGAAGAATATCGTCTTGTATTTGAGAAAATGTTTATTAAACATTAATTCTCACACTGGCTCGTACAAGTCAAGAACCGGTACACAGTTCTCATCGTCTCCGCTCTGTTTCCTTGCCACACAGATTTCCAATCAAAAAAAAAAAAGGCTACTACAAAATGAAACCCTTTCTGTCCGTGGACCTCTTTGACATCTGTTAAACCTTTTTTGACGTTTCGTATGTTAACCTCCGCAGTGTGGGGTTTTGATCCCAACAGGAACTGGGTGGCTCGGAGAGACTCTGGCTCTGTAATTACAGGCCTCCTGAAGTAAATTATAGCTATTTGTGTCTCGTTCCTCCCATCTGGACCACCCAGGCAGCCAGTCCTCTCTCTTCTCTCTCTCTCTCTCTCTCTCTCTCGCGCTCTCTTTCTCGCCTTCTCTCCTCAACCCCTGGTCCGGCCCCAACCACCCAACTCTGAGCTTCGCGACTTTTCTGCTCAGTTCAGCTCTGTTCAGCTTACCACTCGCTCCAGAAGGAACCTTGTCCTTTTTTGTCTTATCTGTCTTTCCGTGGTTTTTCTCCCCCCCCCCCTTTATCCTTTTCTACTTCTTTTCTCTTTCTCACTCTTTTTCAATCCCCCTACCCTCTCTCCCTGCGCTCAGCCTTAAAGAGACAGTTCCTGGAAATTTTTCCCACCCTGGGAAGAAAGCGCCTTTGAGAGTGGAAACCCGGCGCTTCAACACCCCGGCGGCTACTAATTTTACTACATGAGCAATTTTTATGAAACATGAAATATGAGTCCGTGTTTGTCAACACGATAAAAATATGTGTGGGGGATCACAAAATTATTACAACTCCTAAATCACATCCATGGTTCTTTCATTGGATGTTTTTTTGAGAAAGTCTGAAGAATCTTTGCAAACAACTCAACTTGCTGGGTGCAACATGTGAATTCATTTAGCTTCACCACTAAAAGCACTTTCACAACAGTTACGACACTGGGAGAGAGAAGAGCGAATGAAAAACGTCACAACAAGCCCCGACATGGTTTCATGGCTGTGTGTACGGATATAATGCCTGTATGAATGTGTGTGTGTGTGTGTGTGTGTGTGTGTGTGTGTGTGCGTGCGCGCGCACGCACGCACGCACCGGTTTAAACACTGGACTCTGTCTCCACCAAACCCAGTCATTTCCTCTCCACCTGACTCTTCCATTTCCAAAAAGCCCAACCACCCAGAATCCGCTAACTCTCTGAAAATATGTGCGGCTTCTCACATCTGGCTGCTGGGACGGAGGCAGTGCCATCTTTAAAGTGCTGCGCCTCAAACGCATTCTGTTTTATTCTATTCTGTCTTCGGTGGCTTATAGGCCTAGTCCCAGTTCCAGGCCATGCCAGGTCAGACCAGGCCACCTTCAAAGTTCAGTGTGGTAGATTAGCTGGATTAGGGGGCCTCTGAAAGGCCCCACGCTGCTATGGAGGAAGACCCAAGACGAAGAGGGCTGAAAGTGACATGTATGCTTTTACCTGCTACACAGTGCATTGGATTTTACCCTTTCCTGATTTACACAGCACGTCAACATGAGGAGTACTGAACTACTTCTACACAGAACCTCATTTAATAGAATATAGATTAAAGGGAAAAAAAGGTCTGCTCATAACAGAGTAGCAACAATATGAAAAAGGACAGAAAGTCATTCCTTGGCTGCCATTGTCTATGCATCATTTACTTTCTCTCTCAGCCGCTTTTTTCCAATAGACGTCCTTTATTTCTTTTGATTTACAGCAAAGGAGCCAAATAAGTAACTCATTCTCTTGGCCTGGCACCCAGCATCACAAAAAAAAACCTCCTTTTGTCACTTGTGGACCCACCAGAATCAGGACTGTGCCCCACTCTGGGTCCTCAGCCCGGCTCTGCCCTATGGCGTTCCCTAGCCAGGGCAGGGCCGAAAGCGGGCTGCCCCCCAGCAGATGGGCCGCTCCTCCATACAATCCTTCAGCGCTGCAGCTCCAGTCTGAATGCAGACCCTTTTGTCATTCAACCCCTTCAATTTCTTTCAGATGTTTCCCCAACAAACAGCAGAATAAAATAAAAGAGGGAACGTTCTTTTTTTTTTTTTTTTCACAGCAAAAGCAAATGGACCAAAACTTTCCCAGCCTGTAAAACAATGCCAGAGTTGGCTGTGGGAGGGTGAGGCTGGCACTTTGGTGTCTTACCTATAGAAATACAGTCTGTGTGTGTATGTGTGTGTGTGTGTGTGTGTGTGTGTGTGTGTGTGTGTGTGGGTGTGTGTGATTTTGTCTTCACACGCACGCTTGTATCTGTTCATTAATCGTCCGGGACAGTTGTGTTATTTTAGGAGGAGAAAACCCTAATTGATGTGCGAGCATGAGAAAACAAAATTGATCAGCTTCAGTGTGTTTAAATCATGCAGCTCCCACCATCATGACTAAAAAAATAAAAAATGCCCCCGAGATCACACCTTAAAAACAGTATAAAACAGCGAAAACAACATGAAAAATCAGTTTCACTTACATTCTATTCAGATGTGCCAGTGGTGTTAGCCACCACACATAAATTTCCACCAGGGTTGGCATTTAGGCACTTTCTATTTCCATATGTATAGGCTTGCCTCTGCTAATTATGCTAATCATGGGCAGAGTTGGCCACTGTGAAAAATAGTCACATTAGACACTCCACTGACCGCTAATACTGCTTAATGTGTGGTTGAAACATACATTCATCCCGGCCTGAAAGGCAAAATTTTTCCACGTTGCTGGTCTCATTCAGCCGAGAAATGAATTTATCGAGCCCCGACAAGAGCCCATCTCTTCTCCCCCCCCCCCCCCCCCCTCCCAAGTACCGAGGAAATGTTGAGGCTCTCTCTCCGTCTCCCTCACCCTTTACTTTTTTTTTATACTTCCATGGTGTAAAGACAGAAGCAAATGGTGCAAACTCTGAGGTGACTGGTGCCGCTTTATTCCGCGCAGACCAAAGACAAAGGTTGCTCTTCAGCGGGGAAAGAAAGGGTGCCACGCTATATTGATTGCGTTTTCATTATTCCGTCTTCAGTTGCATTGCAGCCTTTCTCCGTATACTGCATTCAGTGTCGCGGTGACTGACAGTCCGGTGACCTTTTTTTAAAATATATAAATATATATATATAAAAGCTTTGGCACCAAAATAACCGTTCAATGTGTGTTATCGCTGTAAATGCGGCCACATGGTGGATACTTTTAGTTTTAACATTGCTATTTCAAAAACACAAACAGGTAGGGAGCAGTCAGTGCGTCTCCTGCATCATGGAGGCCATGTGTCTGTCATATGCACATGTATCTGTAGCTGCTCAATGTGTGTTGATTTGTTGGAGGGTGGTCTTGGTCTGACTGTTGAAGAGTGTGTGTGTGTGTGTGTGTGT